GGTCTGGAGCCCCCAGACCCCCTGAGCGATTCGGGATTCCCGGGATGGGCCCGGGAGAGGTGAAAAGCGCGAATTAATATCAACAATGCCAAAGGGTTGTTGTATTGAGGCTCCAGAAAACTCACAGTGCTGATGTGACTTGCTGGGCTCGTTTTGGCACACAGGAAGGGGTTGCTGTTTTGAGTGTGTATTTTTTCTTTTTTTTTTTTTTTTTGTATTGATCCTTTCAAAATGTTTTCTTATTTTTCAGCAATTAGAACTTATCACGCCCTTCCAGCTGTATTTCAACCCTGAGTTAATATTTAAGCACTTTCAAGTAAGTGTTTTCGGAAGCACTGTAGATTTTAAAATGTGCTGTAGAGTTTTTTAAGTGTTTGTCTTCTCAAAACAGTGTACTTTTTGTATTAAAAATACACTTTTTAAAAGCTACTGTAGCCAGAGTGAAGACCCCTATGCCTTAAAATAGGTCTGAGTTTCATTTTCTGTAAAGGAGATTTCAGTTTCATTGTTACTCATTTCTCTACTTAGACAATAAAAATAAGCTGTCATGTTTAAAGTCCTTGTATTTGTCTTATTTTCAGATATGGAGGTTAATCACAAACTACTTGTTCTTTGGACCAGTTGGCTTTAATTTTTTATTTAACATGATCTTTTTGTATCCTTCACCAAGTTGTGTTGGTTCCCTTGGCAAGCAGAGTGCAGGAACGTTGCTGTACCTGCACAGAGGAGAGGTTGAGTTCCTGGGAATTCAGCAATGCCAACTTCAAGGGCTTCAAGGGGGACTCCTTTTTTAAATTGTCAAGAATTTCCCAGTTACTTTTTTGGTGTTAAGAATTTGTGCCAGCCTGATCCTTCAGGTTGGTGCTGCAGGAGAAAATTCCAGGTAACTTCTTTGTCCCCCCGGCTCCCCCTCTGTGCTGAAGTATCCAGAAAGAGCCAAGTGATGCAGTAAATTGACAAAACCCTTTTAAGCTGATGTAGAAGTGGGTAATTTCCTGTTTGGATGTGTCTCTCTGAACTTGCACTGGAGTTTTCCTGACCTTGGCCTCAGATACCGCTACTGCCGCATGCTCGAGGAAGGCTCTTTCCGGGGTCGCACGGCAGATTTTGTATTTATGTTCCTTTTTGGAGGACTTTTAATGACTGTATCCTTTCTGTTTTCATTCCAAGTGAACATACAGAAGTTTGCAGGAGAGCTGAAACCATGTTGTTACTGTTACCTTAATACGGTTTGTTGCACGAGGAGTACTGATAGTTTTTAGGGTGGTTTTGAATATTTTGGGATTGTTGCTGGTTTTTTGGGTTTTTTTCTGCTTGATCATGGAAATAAGGTTATCAGGGGGCTGTTCAGATGTGGGATCATGCTCATGTTGTCTGTGAAGAATTAAATTCTGCTTTAATGAGATTATTCATGCTGCAGGTACCCAAATCCTGCTGCACCTGTTGGATTTGATGGACAGTAATTTGACATCCTTACACCTGAGAAAGTGGATTTACCAGCTGTGTGGAAAACACAAGGTTACAAATTAAGCTGTGAAATTCCTGACCTCACAAGAGTTTCCTTAACCAGCCATGGCAGCTTTTTGGGCTGTTTGTGAACCTGGTGTTCCTGGGGCAGGCGTTCACCATCATGCTGGTGTACGTGTGGAGCCGCAGGAACCCCTACGTCCGCATGAACTTCTTTGGGCTCCTCATCTTCCAAGCCCCTTTCCTGCCCTGGGTACTGATGGGCTTTTCTCTGCTCTTGGGGAACTCCATCATTGTGGATCTCCTGGGTGAGCAATGGCAGCAATCTCACGAGGATCTGTTCCTCCTCGTGCTTTTCGTGAAACAGAAAATGGGGATTTGTCCCATTTTTATGCTTGGTTTTAGTTCTTCTGATGTATTTCTTATTTTATATTTATATTTTTAGGCTTTTCTTATTTCTAGCCATTGTAGCATGTTTTGTACTGTGATAAGGACGGCAAGAACTTCTGATGTTTTTTTTCTGATGTTTTTAATTCTGGCTTTTTATTGTTTGGAATCAGCCCTGATGCATCATCTGACCATAGCATCAGTCTATTGAAATAGTTTATATTGCTATTTTATCAACTCTAATAGAGCCAAAATATCAGTCATTTTTAATAATGACAAGATGTTTTCCCAATATTAATGTCCTGTAGTATAAGTTAAGCTTTTTACATGCTGTTAGCTTTCTTCCTTAGGTTTTGTATTTCTGTATCATCAAATTTTCTGTGAAAGAACCAATGTATGTTGTTTTTCTGAAAACTCTAGTGTAAAGCATTTGAGAATTGTAAAGGAGAACTACTGAAAAATCATCTTTTGGCTTTTGTTTCTATACCAGGTATTGCTGTTGGGCATATATATTTTTTCTTAGAGGATGTCTTTCCCAATCAGCCTGGTGGTGGGAGGCTCCTGAGAACGCCGTCTGTCCTGTGAGTATTGGTGTCTGCTTTGGAAGAGACAGGGCAAAAGTGCTTGTTTGGAAAACTGTTTGCAATTCAGTCACAACATTTGGGCAGAGACAGAATTGGGGGGTGTCTCTTCTTGATTTTTATTGAACTCCTGTTGCCAAACAAGGAGCTGGAATTTGTTTAAGTGGGAGCCAACTTAACTGGAGAAGAGCTAAAGGATTTTACCTTTGGTTTCTCTGATAACACTTTGCTGACAGCACCAAAGCTGTGTCCCCTGCTGAGGTAGTACATATAAGATATGTAATGGTTTTTTTCTTCTGTAAGTCATCTTCACATCACAATTTTGGGGAAAAAAATCCTTCAGTGTTTGTAGTGTTTAACACTCCCACTCAGTTCCCTCTTGTGTGGATGCTCTAATCCATTATGGTGCTCTCCCAGAACACTTCTGATGGTTGTTTTCCACAGAATCATAAGACTATCCTCAAGATGTTTGGCATAGAATATTTATACATAAATAGCAGAATAACCTCATCAATCTTGATTTGGGATCTCCTTCCTGGTGGCTCCAAATTGGACAGCATAAATCCCACTGCCTGGGCAAGCTGTTCTTGAGGGAGGAGACTAGCACAGGGGTGATGGTCTTAATTTCATAATTGGTTTTGTGCCACAATGTAATGAGGATGTAAAAGCTGTCAGAGAGTGCTCAGAGGAGTGACACAAAGATGGTGAGGGTTCAGGAGGGGCCACATGATAGGAATGGCTGAGAGCACTTGGTCTGCTCAGCTGGAGAAGTGGAGAATTTGGTCAAACCAAATGCTGTGAGCTGACAGCATGTGTGCTGTCTTGATGTTGTTTTTCAAAGAATCATAAGACTATCTTGAAGATGTCTGACCTAGAATATTTATACATAAATATCAGGGGATTTATACATAAATATTAGAGGATGAGTCTCATCAGTCCTGATTTGGCATCTCCTTCCTAGTGGTTCCAAATTGGACAGCGTAAATCCCACTGCCTGGGCAAGCTGTTCTTGAGGGAGGACACTGTGCAGCATGTGAGCTGTCTTGATGTTGTTTTTCACAGAGTCCTAAGACTATCCTGAAGATGTCTGGCATAGAATATTTATACATAAATAGCAGAGAATGTACCTCATCAGTCTTGATTTGAGATCTCCTTCCTGGTGGCTACAAAGTGGGGACATAAGCTTCACTGCCTGGGCAAGCTGTTCTTGAGGGACGACACTGTGAGCTGACAGCATGTGAGCTGTCTTGATGTTGTTTTTCACAGAATCATAAGACTATCCTCAAGATATCTGTCATAGAATATTTTTACATAAATGGTAGAGGATGAACCTCATCAGTGTTGATTTGGGATCTCCTTCCTGGTTGATTTGGGATCTCCTTCCTGGTGGTTCCAAATTGCAGAGCATAAACCCCAGTGCCTGGGCAAGCTGTTTGTGAGGGATGCCACTGCAGCATGTGAGCTGTGTTGATGTTACAGTGAAAGCTGTGTTTTAAAGGCTCACCATGCTTTGTGTTTTGCAGGAAAGCAATATTTGACACCCCAGAGGATGACCCCAACTACAACCCCTTGCCCGAGGAGCGGCCGGGGGGCTTTGCCTGGGGAGAGGGGCAGCGCCTCGGGGGTTAACCAGGGCCATGGGGGCTCCTCCCCAGCACACAGAGGACTCTGACAGCCCTATGGTTTGGAACACAAGCACTTTATGAAATGCAGTCTCACCTGAGGCACTCCCAGCACCCTTCCCAATCAGGGAATTCATTGTGCTGGACATCATCTGAATCCAGTGGAGCCAAAAATGTAAAACTGGAAACTGTTTCCTGTTAACTTCAGTTAACAAGGCCACACAAGTACTTGTTTAAAGTGATTTCTAAAGCATTTTTTTCAAGTTATTTGATACATGAAACTCTATGGGAAACTTTATAGAGGACGAACCCAACTTTTTGGGATTTAATTCATTTTTTTATTCTTGGATAAAACAACTGCAAGATGATTGAAAGGCTAAGTCACTATTTCAATGGCAAAAGGTTGTTTAATCTGAGGTGCTGCTGTCTCCAGTCATCTTTGAACTGCAGGGAACACAACATGCAGCTTTTCACTCTGCCAGTTGGATTTTTGGGATGTTCTGCAGGCTGAGGCTACATTTTGGTGGTTTTTTCCCCCAAAGACTGTGTGTTCAGGTGCCCACAGTGGTGGTTAAACAGCTGTGCCTGCAAAATCCATCTCCTTGTGCCCTCTACTGATACTGGATGACCTGCAGCACTAGAGAAGGAAATTTGTCTGGACTCAAAAAATGATGATGAGTTGAATAAAATGTCTTGTGGATCCTTTTTGTTTAATCCTCTATATCATCCTCTAGTGTTGAGGCAGCAGGGGCTGGAAAAAGCAAATCCTTGAAGAGACAGAGATACCTGCAGCTTTTCCCACAAATGTCTTAGAAGTGCAGGGCACAGCGTTGTCTGCTCAGGTTGTGAAATCTGTGGTCTGTGGATGGAGTTTGTTGTGTCCAGCACAGGCCAGTGAGGCTGAGTGGTATTTAGCTTAAAGCTGCATTGATTATAAATATCTCTGAGCAGCCACGTAGGAATTTGGAGCTCAGTTCAGCTCATCATGGTCAGTTGTTCTTAAATCACCATAGAAAGTATCAGGTGGGGTTTTATTGATTATATCATAATGGATTAAAGTTAAAGGTGCATCTTCATTCTGCGTTTTAAAGGATGGGCTTACCCATGACATGTGATTATCTCATTTAGTCTCACATTTTGCTTTTCAAAACTGGCTACAAGTTTTAGTTTTTTTAATTTATAGTCCAGGAGAGAAATGTGTGGCGATCTCAGGGGAAATGCTTTGTCCACAAGCAGTGTGTTAGATTGATAAAATGTGTGAGGTAATTTGTGTCTGCATTTTTATCTGTTAAAGGTTATAAAACTTATGGAAGCTTTGGGAGATTTTACAGGTGTTTTGGTCTGGTTTTGGGGCAGTTTTGATTGTTCCTAGAACAGACTTCTAGTGCTCCTAGAGAGCAAGAATGAAAGTGTCTTGGACAATGCTGCTTCAGCGTAGGGTATGAGGCAGGTATGAGATAAAAGCTTTATTTTTGCGTGTTCTTTTTAGTTCAGTGTTTGAGAACAGGACTTGCTACTGGGACTGAATGGCAACATGTCCCTCCGCTGCTCACAGCCGGCTCTCTGCCCTCCTTGGCTGCGTTTTGCTGCCCTTTGGGGTCCGCGATGTTTCTGAGGGGCGTCCGGAGCCGGGAGCGCTGCAAATGGCGGCGGTGAGGGCGGGACTACAACTCCCAGAATGCTCTGCGCAGCG